CAGCAGCAGCAGCAGCGGCGGCGGCGGCGGCAGCGAGGTTGAGCCTGGCTCTCTTCCACAATTTTCTTACTTTTGACCAACTCCCCCTTCGTTTCCTCCAGCGTTCTCTCTACGACGGTGAGGCTGCCGCGCTCGATAGCGCGCCGCGTGGTATCTTCTGCTGACGCGGCAACCATACACTGCCCCGTCCTCTCTTCAAACTTCGTTTTGTTTTGATTCAGCTTTCGCGCAGCGCGCCTCCTGCTGCCAAACGGCGCAGACCTCGATTATTATTTTTGGGAGGGTCTGCTGGTGTGGGCTCTGCAGCCCCACTGGAGGGGCCGTTTTCAGACATGTAGATCTCGTGGTTGGCTGATGCGATTCGGATGCGGTTTGTTGTGTGGTATAGCTGTAAACCCAAGGTAGAGGGCTGTAAGGTCGCGAGACCGAGAGGAGCAAAGGTCGCCTTGGGCGTGGAGCAAAGAGCCCAAAAAAACATGTTTTTTGGTGTTGTTCGTCCGCCCTTGAACTTGAAGAGAACCCAACCCTACAGTCACCTCTATTGGACCTGTGTCCAGGTGTGTGTAAGGCATGAATATCCATGCTGCTGTGTGGACGCAGAGCTACCTGTACAAACAAATTGACTTGATGTATAGTTTATTCAGTATTAACAGCGGGATTCTCAAGAACCAAAAGAAGAACCAAATCCGCGTGCCCCCCTCAAATGTTGCCGAATGGACCGGACGTTTTTTTGGCCCCAAATTCCGCCGCTTGAACACCCCCAACAGTTGTTGTTGTTATTGTTGACTTCACATTAAACCGTATGCCAGTTGCTAAATGCCAAAATCTAGCAAAGACTCTCAGCCCGTGGTCACGAAAGTGCTAGAGCCATCTGAGGATCTAAAGAACACGCACACGTAGCAAGAAAAAGGTATCCAAGAGCCCGAAGAGGTACTACTACACCTATATATAATCCCTGCAGCACTGTACGCGTGCCGAAAACTGAACTACACGTCCGTCTCACCGTTCGACTACAGCAACANATGGGCATCGCTGCCTACGCCGACGGCCAGAGGCCCGCGCATCTACATTTTTTCGCCTGACCCCATCAGTGCCGACCCAACTACACCACCACGCGCATGCCTCGCGGCGGATATGCGCAGCAGCAAGAAGGTTTCGGTCATCCCTTGAGGGTGAATCTAGCCCTGCTCGCCAGAAAGACCCCCCCCTTCACTACAACCCATGTCTAAGCAAAAGCTTGTCGAGGAGCGAGGGGAAGAAGGGAGAAGTATCAGTAGCGGCTACGATTTAAGGAGGAATTTTTAAGAGAAGGTACGGGTTAATGAGAGGAAAATCGCTTGGCACGACCAAAATCGATTTAAGAGAAATTTGGCATATCCCCGAGATTTTCTCTTGAATCGAGCGAAAAAAGTGCGGCTACGATGCAGACGGGCGATGGCTGTCTGTAGAGGAGGACGAGGAGGTATCCGAAGCGATGGTAGCAAACATGGTCGAAGACCCCTGTAATGAGCAGTTGGTGCAGATGGACTCGGACGACGACGTCGATCTGGTGGAGCAAGGCGAAGCGGGACAGTAGTCGTTGGCGGCAGCGGCCTCGCCTCCGCCGCCGTACGCTAACATAGCACAACACTTTTGTGAACTCGAGGACATTGCCGAGAAGTGCGACATGCCAGAAGCGTCTTACCACCTCCGCAAGGCTAGCTTGGATGAGTGCCCACGGGGCGGGGGCAACCAAGCAGACGTAGTGTAAGTGCTGAGGCTGACAGGCTTCGAGGGGTGCTTTGATTTTCTGTGCCAAAATTGTTTTGAAGCGCGTGCGATATTTTCATAACAGTACTACCGTACGTGATGAAAAGCGTGTTTCGTTCCATGGCTCGTTTTTGGCACGAAGGCTGTGGGTGGTGTGTGTTCATGCGTGAAGGGGATGGGAGGGGTACGAGTGGTTCGTTCATTACGTGCGTCGGTAGATTTTTCCTTGGATGCTGGTTCATCCATGGGCTCGCGTTGTACTTCGAGTTGAGATGCGAGTACAGTGTACAGCACAACACAACAAGCAACAAATACTTCTATGTATATTGTTTGTCCACGCGCACTAAGTGTGCCACACGACAACATGATACTTAGTCCAATCTCCCAGCACAGGTTCCAAGAGCGTACCGTGACTTGGGGTCCATATCGCTCGCCGACCAACAGACAAACCTGTGTGTGGAGCTAGCCTAAGGTGCTGACGCTAGCTGGGTCATGTGACATACGTAAATAATAGGCTCTATGAGCTCTGACGGCACATACCGCTGGAGTGGGCGTCAGAGTGTCAGTGTTCCACGACCTTTCGAGTTGGCTACGGCATAAAGTAATACTCACACAAAGTGAGATATGGTTCAAAGGAATACTCTCTTAAGAGTTGCCAAAACGGTTTAACAGAAATACCGCTTCGAGAGAGCAAAATTGGCTTGTACCAACCCTCTCTTAAACCGTAGCCGCTACACGACTTAATGAGTTGGACAAAGCTGTAAGGGACAAGAAACGGAGCCAGCATGCAAGGCTCCTGTGGTGAACACGTGTACACGTTTCAGGGTGGGCTCCGCGCGCGAGGCGTCAGGTGTCGCACCGCATGGTAACCAAGTCACCCCACGTACCAAACAAGATTGGGGGACTGCGAATTTTTCGATCGCCGCCTCTCGATTACCACACAACTTGCACAGGGGATTCCTGAGTGTTGCTTAAACACCTCCCCACGATTTTCACATCACGAGAGAGGTAACTCGGAAGTATGGACAACACAACGTGGTCGTCATGTTGTAGCCAAGGCAACGTGGATCACGGTTTGCTGCCAGCAGCAGTCGGAGGCATGGACAGAGAGAGAGAGGGGGAGAGGGAGAGAGGTGACCGGTTGCCGCGATGGCCAGAGCGGAATGGGAGGAAGCCTTTCCAGTCAAAGCCACATCCCACAACACAGCAGCAGGATCTCGCATAGTAGGCGGGGGGG